CACAATGTGTTTACATGTATGAAATTCTGGGTTTTATTTTTAATCGGTTATAAAAAAGAATGTCCTGTAGGGTAGGCAAAATAACTGTCATTTGTCTAGCACCTGGCACAGAAACACAAACAGGCCAATTCATAAACATTTCTATTTTCTATAAAAAAAAATCCAATCTTCCTATAATTAACATTTTCGTTTTCTCTCTGCACAAGTGGCTGGGCCTCTGTGAAATCCCAACAAAAGTCTGCTTCTGAAGGAGCAGAGTTGTTCAAATAGGACTTGAAATGACACAAAACTCTAACTATTTTGTATTAAAAATGTGTTTTGACACACAGATAGTTACATAAAATACATCTACTAGGGGAGCCCTAACATGCTTGGGCTTATGCATTATCATTGAAGTAGTATTTTGAAATGTGGATTAATCATACCAACCCTATTAACATTTGGCACACACAGTAATCAAGATACTGATCCAAAAAGAGGCACACTTGTCACAAAGGTGGCTTGGAAAGTTTCACCATATTTTCAAGGGAGACATAACTGCATCCACAACTAAAACCCATTTTAAATGCTGCTCTTTAAGAATAAATGCTCTTACCCAAACACTCATTTCTCAACACAGCTTTATTTTTCATACTGTGTTATGGGTGTACCTGGATCTCTGCAAGTCTCTCAGGATGTCTGAACTGCAATCGGAAATATGACAGTAGCACAAGCTAACATATTAATGCTAGTTTAAAGCTACTTAGAATGGCTAACAAAGGCTTAAAGATGCGGTGGCACAGGCTTCGGCATGGGCTGTAAAAGCATGCAGGTGACCCAGGTTACATACCCACATTGTCAGCCTGTGCCATCTTGCCTTCATGGCTGTTCTTAGCAATGATAGCTCAATTATAGCTAGCACACATTTGCCAGCTTGTGCTGCAATCAAACCCCTTACTATAATGTACAGGCAGTCCCCGGGTTACATGGATCCGACTTACATCGGATCCCTACTTACAAACGGGGTGAGGCAACCCCGCACTAGCTGCTTCCCCCCAGCAGACTAGGGAGACGCAGAGCGGCTTTTCACAACAGACACCTCAGCTTGAGAATAAAGGACTGAGGGAAGTGAGGTGTGGGAGAATAAAACTGAGCTCTGGAGAAATGTTTGGCTAGAGTTTCCCCTACAATATGTACCAGTTCCGACTTACATACAAATTCAACTTAAGAACAAACCTACAGTCCCTATCTTGTACGTAACCCGTGGACTGCCTGTACTCATACTCCAAGAGATCCCCTGCTTTCCAAAAATGTTCTTACAATCCAAGGCCTGATACTGCAAACACTTTGGTACATGAGTAACTTTATTCATATGAGCAATTGCACTGAATTCAATAGGA